GATTGCGACGACGCAGGATCGTCGGAGCGATGAATCAATTATAGTGCGTCAAATATAAATCATTTATTTTTGATCAGCATATGTTATATACGATGTATTTGAAAAAGATTAAATTAAAGATTAAATTAATTTCAGCTGTTCGTGAGTTAATGTGTCATCGCAAATGGAATATTAATTTCGTCTGTTATATAAATTTTCGATAAAATTAGAACGTCGTGTTTTGCGTCAAATTATTATCTTTTTCAATATGCTAATATATATCGTGTTACATTTCCAATTCGATTAAATTAAAACTATCTTTCGCGGTCGGTGCGATAGTAGTTAACTGAAATTTGAATTTTAACGATGGACCATGTGCGGTTTATCGCCGTCGTTGTTTTTAATTATGCCGTCACACGTGAAAATGAACGAACAAAGACGTGCAACCGAGAATGGGAAAAAATCGCGCTTACGATGGGAAGTAATATGGAACGCAATGGTATTAAGCGGAGTTATACTTTCTTGTGTGTCTTCTCTTTTCCGAACGTTTTAGTTACGAGCCGTGACAGTTGTGCCGTGACACATTTCATTCGGTGAAACGCATACAGCGACACGTGAGAAAATCGCCACGAGTTTTCGCAATGACGCTGATTTCATCGAAGAAACTTCAGCGCGAATTCAGCGTCGCACCGTATAAGGATGAAAATTACTACCTACATTAATCCGCGTGTAATTCCATCTTCCCGGAACTTCACCGATGATTCTTATATAATCAGATAAATCTCAACCTTTACTTTGATACGTTTCTTTGAAATAATTTATAATTATCTCCGCCTATATTTCTTCTTTTTATAGTATTAATACAAAGCATAAAGTATTAGAAAAAGTATAAGACATGTTGCAGAGATAACTTAAGTTTACTTACTGTCACCTTACTTTAACTATCATTTAAGTATTAGTGACAAAAGTATATAATTTATCGTACATGTGTAGTATAAGTGTATATGTACGTACAATCGCGAAGCGCAGTACTCTGTAATTGAAGCTACGGCTACATGTAGGTCGGTTAAAATATGCACGCGTTGTCATTGCAGAGTCGCTGCTCTTTTTTTCGTTTTATATACAATCTCTGTGAAACGTTATTTTATGCGTATCCGAGTGAAATGGGAACTTGGTGGAATTTCGACGAAGTGCGAATTTTATAAAATCGAAAACTGCTCAAAGCGTAAACGATTGTACGTTGTGCTGGCGATTAATATGTATTATTATTGAAAACTTTTATCAGCAATTCGTTCAGCCATTTGAGCTAAAAATTAACACAAATTTGAATGCTGATCGAATGTGCCTGTGACCTAATTTACATGATGCTTTTTCACTAGCATGCTAGTTCTTTAGCGAACTAGAAAACTAGTAACTAAAAATATATTACTTTATATAAGTTATGTATTATATTTTTAGAAAACTCTAGTAGTGAAAAATATATAATTTATATTTTTCAGCTGATATAGTTTTTACAATTTGCTAGAATATTAATTGTTAGTAAAAAAACATCGTATAAATCAGATCTATTTGATACATTTTTGTTTAGTCATCTTGGCAATATCTTATATATATATATATCACGAATGAATATATAATTGACAGATTCAATCCTTTTTTCTAAAAGAAACTTATATCTCCGGCGTTATACTGATCAACGAATTTCTTGAAACTATATCCTGTATATTTTTATAAGAAAGTTTGAAATACGTCGTTTGCGCCAAGTGCCAAATATTGGCGTATTTCCGAGAAAATTCTCAACCTTTTATCCATCTGTTTCTACTTTACTAGTAGAGACGATGTGCTCAGGATGCGTTAAGAATTACTGTACAAATTTTCCAAGAGAAGAAGTATGAATAATATTATAAGAAAACTCATGAAATATTTAAGGGTAGTAGAACTAAAAGAACTTGGTCACTATATTCATATCCGTCCTTATTTCAAGATTGTCTTAAGTAATGTCTTAAGATGTTAATATGGCTGTGTGATCGGTTTATGACATTTTAAGATTGCACTTAAGACTTAAATATAAGAATTGACTTTAAATGTCTAGCCTATGAAAGAGTATGAAAGAATATGAAAAAAATTAGAATAAAATACTAAAATACGTAGTAAGGACTTCTTATATATGTATACAGGGTGTTTCCAAATTAAATGGCAAAACTTCGGGAGCGTGTAGAGGAGTAAAAAACTAAGAAAAAAAGTCCTATGGACATATGCTCCTTTTTGCTTTGTTTCGCAGGAAATCACGAAAAAAGAAAAAAATATATTTAATTTATTATTTTAATTATTTTATTTATAAACTTTTTA